GCTGCTCCCGCTTCAATGGCGCCTGCTCCTCTCCAAGAGCGTCAGGTGCCACCTACCGCAAGTTCCTGGCATAGATGGCCAGGCTGGAATTTTCTGAGATTCAGTGAATTAAAACAATTTCATTGAAAGGGGCACCCGATTCTTTCGCTTTAAACTGCTCACCTCACCAACTGTAACCCCTACTAACCGCAGCAGCCTTTCTGCTCCCAGACACCAAGTGACAAACCTCTCATTTAGGATGCAGACGGGGTGCCCGCCCTGGCCAGCCACAGGGGCAGGCTAACGTCTCACCTCCCGGGATCCTGTGACAAACGCCGCTGGCAATCTTGGCTTAGAATCGACTTTTCACTGAGTGCTTTCACATTAACGTTGCAAGGAAATAACCACCTTTATTTTCTGACATTGATGAACAATTTTGTCGAAGCAGCGTTAATCAAAAACAGGTGAATCAGCAAGAAATAAAGATTTACGGCTAACAATTTTGTGCCAACATTTTAAAAATGCTTAACTCACAACACTGATCCATATTAAATTAAGCTACAGGTTTGGGAAAGATTTTTTCTCCCGATTATATTATTCTCCCGATTTTATTCTGTAACGTCAAATATGCTAAGCGAATTGAGCAACATTGATATTTCCTTGTCTTTAAATTTGATCTAGCTTATAGAATTCCATTTACCTCTTTTAATACCATTTGGACTTTCTGTATAATTTCAAAGGACACTGTCCTTGGAAGCTCATTTCCAAAGTAAATTTCTGCCCTGCTGTTTACATAATGTGGTTTTAAAATCTTATTTAAGAATTGTGCTGTTTTTACAACTTATAATCAAGACAATTTCTCTTGCTATCCAGTGACCCTAATTCTGGCCTTGGTGAGATGGCCTTGGGAATAGGAAGGTAGAAACGCCCCATTCCCCATTCTCACCAACCATGGCGGGCTGCGCGGGCTGCCCCCGCAGACCTCTCCCTAGGCTGGCGAGGCCTGAAGGCAGAGCTGTGATCCCACAGTCTCCTCGTCCTGCACAGGGGGCGCTGGGGGACCTCCCGGAGCCTGGTTCCCGCACTGCCCGCCGCTGTTTCTAGAATCTGAAACGACCATCCGGGCTACCCAGTCAGGCTGTTTTCTGTGACAACCAGCATGTAGGTCATCAGGTCAGATGATGGCATGGAATCTGAGGACTAAACATAAGAGGGTGGAAAGATTAAAGAGATGAAAATATTGAAGGCAAAAGCCAGTTCCAGCATGGAAGCAGGGAGCCAGCGTCTGGGGCTGGTGGCGGGAGCTGGTTCCAGACGGCAGCTCGTACCTTGCAGAAGCCTGGTTTGCGCCCCTCGCCAGTACTATTCTGAGACTGGGACGCCGGAACCCCCAGGCCCATGTACACAAGGAGCAACTCCCTTCACATGATGCCACTGTCCTTTGTCACTCTCCACAGCACTCGCCTTCCATCAGCCAGGAGGAGTGAGGTGCTCCCGGATTCCTCCTACGGAGGGCCGGCCTCACTGTCCTGACAGCTGGCATAGGCCGGAATCCGCAGGGGGCTGTGGACACCCGTAACCGAGGTTGGAGCTCCAAGCCAGTCCAGTCCACACCTCCAGTGGCTCAGCACTGCTGTGGGTGGGACCCAGCCTCAAAGGTTCCCGAGCGATCACTAGTGAGGTTCCTGCAGTCTGGCTGCGCCCCCAAATCCCATGCCGGAAACGACCGTGGAAGTGATATGCAGAGGCGGGGCCTTGGGAGGTGACAGGTCATGAGGGTGGAGCTCTCATGAATGCCCTTAGTGCCCTTAGAAAAGAGGCCCCAGAGAGCCCCGGTGCCCTTCTCACCACGTGAGGACACCGTGGGAAGACGCCACCTAGGAGCCAGGAACCCCCCACCCCCACCCCGGCCGTTGGCTCGGCACCTTGGTGGTGCACTTCTCAGCCTTCAGAACTCCAAGCAGTAAATTCCTGTCTTTTACAAGCCAACCCATCTGCAGCATTTATTTTTTAATTTTTAATTTATATATATTTCCTTATTATTCATACATTAAGTCGCTATAGATTGTGAACAGACTTGACCCAGCATGACGTACACCTCAGTCCAGCCCGGTTGAGACCACCCTACACGTCCTCATCCACAGATAATAGACCTATCTGTGTCCCCCAAGTGTCTCACCTCTCCATTTGCTGTGCTCAAGCCCTTGCCACATCATGGCCTGCACTACCTTGGGACCCTGCCAGCACTAAGACCCTCACCATGTGGTCCTGGACCTTATGCCTCCAGACCGAGAGCCAAACGAATCTGTATTCTTTTTTTTTTTTTTTTTTGAAGAGGTTTTTGCTACAGGGAGCATGCGCTCACCAGACAGAGAGAGACAGAGAGACAGAAAGCGAGAAATCTCCCCCTCAGGAGGAATGGCCACACCACAATCCCTTCTCCTCCATTCTCCTCTCGGGATCTTGGGCACGCATGCACATACACCCGGCGTGAGTTTAAGCCACCAGGTCTGGGACTCGAACCGCGGTCGACTACGTGGGAGTCCAGCGACATAGCCATTATGCTAACTGCTGGTCCCTGAATCTGTATTCTTACCGATCTCCCAGCTGCAGGTGTCCAGTCTCTAAGCAGCAGAGAACAGACGAGAGCGTCCATCCTTCTCCACAGATGACCACGGGTACATGCACATGGGCCCAGGGCCTTTGGGAGGCTGGGAAGGGGGATATTTCAGCTGGGCTCCCACTTTGCTCTCTCAGCTGAGGACTCTTCAAGTTCACACTTGGTCTTTGTGCAAATTAGCGGAAAGGCTTTGTCTGTGTGGACACAGTCTCTCCCCCTGCCCCAAGAGTGGAAGTCCTGAAAACCTTTGAACAAAGAAACTCCCTGGACCTGTGCGGCTCACCACGGGCACTCAACTGGCAGAGGAGTACGTCCCTAGCCCCACAGTCACTTTGCTCGTCACCTGCCTACATGACATGAGAACCCCCAGCCGCATGTGTCAACCCTGCTCCCCTGCAGGGCTGGCATGCTCTGTGCGAGGTCTGGCAGCTCCGTTTATGAGCTAGGTCCACAGAGTGCCAGACACCGCCACAGGAGAGACAGCTGAGGCCAACAGCAGGGCGCAAACTCAAGGCAGGCCGAGACTTAGCACCAGCTGCTGACCAAGCCACCGCGTGACGAATGCAGCACGCTTGGGGACCACATTTTTATGTCTTATTGTCTTACTTTCATCCAGTTTTCTCTAGGATGGCAGTACCCACACCCCTGGAAAGTTGTTGAAAGTGCACGTCTCAACCCTACCCTGCACTGACCAATTCAGAAACTCTGTACGGGAGCCCAGAAATCCAGTGCTTTAGCAAACAATCCAGTTTAATCATAGTATTAACAAGAACGTCGTGTCAACATATCTCTTTTGAAACTGTTGAAAACAGCCCAGCCTGGTGCTGCCATCAGCAAACTGAGCTGCAGTGCTGGAAGCCAGATGGCTGACAGTGCATGGCGGTCCCAGGGGCAGTCGAGAACACACCAGGTGTGCGTACAGACCCTACGCAGCTAGCGGGCTGGAGAAAGGGGGTTACGGTGTGAGAACAGTGTGAGGTGAGGGTGCTCCTCTCTCTGACTCCCTCATGTGCACCACGCACTCTCCATTACAAATCGTTTTTTGTGTGTTTTTTTTTTTTTTAAATTGTTGAAAAGATGCCTTCTTGATGGACTGTGGTCTGGGCAAACAGTGCACCCTGCCCCAGTGATGTTTCTGGTAGTGAAGATTCAGGTTTCCCCATGTCTCACTGCTGGTCCCTGAGGGTGTAACACACAAGATGGGGCACAGGACTCTGCTCTCTGGAGGACACCGCATTTCCAGTGTCAGCAGCCAGGATAATCACCTCCAGGCTGGCCCAGGTCCCCTCACCTTGAGCCCCAGCTTCCTGTTCTTTCCTAAGTCACTCCAGTCTAACCTCCGGAGGAGCCAGACCCTGTAAACTAAGATTTCAGCCCTGAGAGGCATAAAGCACTTGAAACGAGCCCAAGCGCAAGAGCATAAGAGCTTCCCTCCGAAGGAGGAAAACAAAAATGCTTTCCTTTGATTTTTGTTCGAGTTCGCTGGCTCAAGGTAAGTGCCCTGACGTTGAGTCGGCCCTTCAGAGACAGCCCACATGGAGGCAAGAAAGCCCCACACTCCTCCAGGCTACCACTGGTTGGTCTTTCTCCCACCCCAGGAATGTGATCTTGGGAAGATGACTCTCTCTGGGAAAAGGCAATGCCAGGAAAGAGGTCAGCAGACAATCTTCAGCAGCCACGGTCCAGCCCCTGGGACCCCGCAAGCTCAGCCCGGAATGACTGATATGGTAGCACACTGCAGCATCCGTTACAGGAGCCGAGGGCAACCTACAGAGGACGGCAGCTGCAGAGCTTCGGGGGCAGGTCTGTTGGCAAAGACGTACTGTTCTGTCGTGCCATTGGTTTTAACCCTGACTCTGTCTCTTCACGCATCCTTCTAGGCTCTCTCCAATTCTACCAGATGCTTTTTAGTCTAACAAGGTTGGTCCTCTTCTCTCTCGCCTCCTTCGACGCCACGTGCACCCCATTAAGGACGAGGAGCATGCATGCTGTCTGTTCTTAATCTTTTCAGCTTTCCCAAGCTACTCAGATGCTAAAGCCGACATCTGTGCTCTGTAATTTCAGAGAGTTTCTCATCCCTGCCTTATATGAGGTTGACCTACTTCTCTCGGTCCACTCATATTAGTGAACACGTACAGATGGTTATGTCCATACGATGCATTTCTGTGTCCTCACGCCGCTCTGTGTAGCCCCAGATCTAGCCCACAAGCCACCCCCCACCTTCCTCAAAACGTCCAGTATGTCCTCTGAAATGCTTTATCTTATTCACCAAGTGTTTCTGGATTTTAAACTCCTTTGTGAAAGGCCCCATCTAACTTTTGCCTAAATCAAAGGCTGACTTTTCTCCATGTCTCCTTGCTTCTCCTGTAGCATCCTGAGTGAATATTTCTTTTTGATTTTTTAAAAATTTTTATCTTATTTTATTTTTGCCATTGGGAGTGTGCGCTCGCTAGAGAGAAACAGAAATCACCCCCAGGGAGGATGGCCACATGGCAATCCTGTTTCCTTCATTCTCCTCTTGGTATTTGGGCATACACACACACACACACACACACACACATACACACACACACACACACACACACACACACACACACACACACACACACACAGAGTGTGTTTTTCAAACTGGTGGGTCTGGGATTCGAACCATGGTCAGCCATGCGGAAATCCAACACTTTAA